TGGTTCGCTGGAGTCCCAAAGCCTTAGAAATGGCTTCATAACCCTTTCCAGACTGATACATGTCAACTACTTTGTTTCACATCTGTTCTTGAATTTCTTTAGATCACGGTATGATGTGTTGCTCTTTAAGCATGCTTATCTTTGTCAGACAGGTTCTATTTAAGTGATTTCTTGATTAAACAGGTCTGGCAGTAATCAGGCCTGTGTGTGGCTAGTGAAATTTAACTCCGCTTTCTAAAATAATGTGGTTAATCACAGTTCTTTCATGATTTAAGAGGAGGGGCAATTCATTTTTCACGTAGGGCCAGGTAGGTTTGGACAGCTTTTTTCCCTTAATAAATGAAATTATAATTTCAAAACTGCATTTTGTATTTACTTGCATTATCTTTGTGTAATATTAAAATTAGTTTGATGATCTGAATCTTTTAAGTGTGACAAATATTAAAATTTTTTTTAAAACATTTTCACGGCACTGTATATAGATCAAATAGTTAATAGATGTGAGAAAGTTATTAATATTTTAAGATGCCTAGTTGGAAAGAGACTGGGGTGGGGATAGAGATACATTAATGATGATTTACAGGGGAATCATCAGATCCAACATCGACTATGGATGTATGGCATATGGGTCAGCAGCGCCATCTGTTTTAAAGAAATTGGAGGTTATTCAAACTAAGGCTTTAAGAATTTGTAGTGGGGCCATGAGAACAACACCAATCAATGCACTTTTAGTTGAAATGGAGGAGACTACTTTAGAGTTAAGGAGGATTAAGCTGTCTCTGAACTATTGGTCTAAGCTCCGAAGTTTTAATTGCAAAAATCCAGACAGAAGTTTATTAGAGGAACACTGGGTGTTTCAGAGAAGGGGTGGAAGGGATAGAAAGGGGAGCATGAAGAGAGCTCAAGAAATGGGTATGAAAGTCTACGTAATAGGACCAGCAGTGTGTTGGTCTCCAGTCCCATGGTTTCTGCCAGAGCCTACAGTTGATTTTTCAGTGTTAGATCAAGTTAAGGAAGTTAATGGTGATCCTGTAGCCATGGTTTATGAACATTTAAAAGGGAATGAGTCAGGCTGTGTGCAGATATATTCTGATGGCTCTATGAATCCACTCGATGGAAAAGCAGCAATAGGGATAAGTATCCCTCAGTTATGTATTAAACAAGGTTTTCGATTGCCAGATAACATGTCAGTCTTTTCTACGGAATTAGTAGCAATTTTGTGGGCCCTTGGGTGGGTGAAGGGACAAAGACCTGGAAGAAATGTTTTATGTTCAGATTCCACTGCAGCACTAATGGCAATTAAGGGTAGGAAGAGTGAGGCCAGACCAGATTTAATAATTGAAATTCTGGTTGCACTAAATCGGGTGATAAAAGTGGGAAATATAGTGGGATTTTTGTGGGTTCCAGCACATGTAGGGATTCAGGGGAATGAAGTGGCTGATGAGATGGCAAAAAAAGCTACACACAAGAGTGAAGTTGATTTGAAAGTAATGTATGGAAGAGTTGAGTGCAAGAGTATCATACAGCAAAAAAATAAAGCAAATATGGCAGAAAGAATGGGAAGAAGGAAATAAATGTAGACATTATTTTTCAATTCAGCCTACATTAATGCACACATCATTCACAAGATTAGAGAGGAGGGATAGTGTGGTAATCACTAGATTAAGACTGGGGCATTGTGCACTGAATTATGGGCTGGCAAGGGATGGCAAGCATCCAGACGGCAGATGTTTGTGTGGAGAATTAGAAACCGTGAAGCATGTAGTAATGGAGTGTGAAATTCTTCGTGCTGCAAGAAACCGCATGTTTTCTGATCTGTTGGAATCCGGAGTCTCATCTTAATATGAAGCAACAAGGTTGTTATAAGTTTTTTACTCCACACTGGTCTTTATTTGAGAATTTAATCTATGAGATGGAGTTCTTCAGATGAACGGAGGAGGGCAGCAATACGCCTTTGAAGCGTCTATGCTGCCGCAAATCTCACAAGAAGAAGAAGATGGGGAATGGTTAAGAATATTCTGCTCAAACCGTCAAATTTATGTAATCAGAGAAGGAATGCCATTCAAGAGCAGAAGCAAATGTTCAGATTTTTGATTAAAGTTTGCCAAGATAAAGATTTTTTCAATGGATTAATTTTAAGTACATTTTGATTTTATGCGGACTTAAAATCAAACACTAATGTCTATGTTCATATAGACTTTTACATTGAAACTATTCTTTAATATCACCGAACAACACGTTTAGTAGGCCTATCTTTGGCCTTTACAGTAAATAAAAAAATAATCTGCGGATTGGCATACACATTATTTATTTAGATTTTTACATTGAACCTACATTCTATTAAAATGATCGAACAACACTTGAAAACTTGGCCTTTACTGTAAAGTAAAGAATAAATCCCAGCACCAACAATTCATCTGTGCATTGGCGTGTGCATGCTTGCAAATCAAAAAAGGTCTCACATTTGGAATCTTTACTAACTCATTGTAATGCGAGGCTAGTGTTAAAACCACGTGAGCATCCTTTTCTGTAGATGCAACGTAACCATTTTTGTAAACGGAACGGAACAAAAAAAGCGATATTTTAATAAATAATTTATTATTATTTCATATTGAAGCCCGATATGTGATCACGTGAAATCATCATGATCTGTTTTCTGTTTTTTTCCTCCTGTTTTTACATCTGGGGCTGAAACAAGGATGCGTGCTTCAGTGTTTGATATTTGCAAACGCAGCGCGACGTGGTTGTCCTCTAATCTAGCCAGTTTCTGTCTGCTTGAATGACTCGGTTGTTTGGTTATTTCTTAGACTGGCTGTTGTTGGACATGATGCTGGCGTCATGAAGAATAACAACAAGGCAGTCGGCAGCAGCAGCAGCAGCAGCACGTCGGGACTGGAGCAGCAGCAGCAGCAGCACGTCGGGACTGGAGCAGCAGCAGCACAGAAGGTGAGGGAATGATGCTACATTTTTTCGAGATTATACAAATACACGAGTTACATTTTCAGTCTTGCGTCATTGTGTACATGCCGCGGCATCTAAACGGCATCCGATGTGGTCTTACACCAAAATAAAGTTGACTCGACGTTTTGCGTTTCGGCCACTAAAACATAAATTGTTTGACAGAGATAAAATGGGTATGTTTTCGAAATGCGCTAGAATGTATAAGGACACATATGCTAGTATTCCGCCTTGATATATTGCAACGCATGATGCTAGGTGCTGCACAGTGGATGAAGCAAGACAGAGACCGTCTACAAAGTAGCCTTAATTGTTTATATGTATATATATATATATATAACTTATGGTGTGTATGCAATGTATGTGTGTGTGTGTGCGTGTGTGTCTCTACAATACAGTGTTTCCCACAGATTTTGTGACAGTGGGGGGTGGAATTGTACCTGGATTTTAAAGTGTCTCAGTTTTCATTACTTATAGTACAAATAATATACTACTATTACTACTACTACTTAGTGTTATGTGGGACACTGACTAACGTGGAACATTAAGCTTCAGTGCGTTCATCTCTTCTTCTTTTACAACATGAAAGTGAACATGATTATTGTTGAATTCAAGCAGGGGTGTCAAATTATTGAAATCACTTGACTTTCTGGAAATTATGTCAGAAATGTGGCCGTGAAACCATAAAACAGTAAGTACCTCTTGTAAAGTTCACTCAAAGGTCACAAGTACTTGATAATCTTAGTATTTTTACATATGATGGTAAAATTATTGAAAGAGTACCTTCTTACAAGTACTTGGGCATTTGGAATGATGATAACCTTTTGTTCAATGTACATATTGCTAATCTAATCAGGAAGCTCAAACTAAAGCTTGGCTTTTATTTTAGAAATAAATCTAATTTTACTTTTAATGCCAAAAAGAAACTTGTAGAAGCTACCTTCCTAACTATGCTTGATTATGGTGATATATTATACATGCATGCAGCTTTCTCTATCTTAACAAGCCTTGATTCGGTATACTATGCTTCACTACGTTTTATTACAAATGCAAAATCCCGTACTCATCATTGCATTCTTTATGAGATGGTGGGTTGGACATCATTAGCTATATGTAGAAAACAGCATTGGCACATTTTTATCTATAAAGCAATTTTAGGTAAAGTTCAAGCTTATTTCTGCACTCTTCTTTGTCTTTGTTCTGGCAATTACCAGCTACGCTCTTCCAAGTGTTTGCTGTTTAACGTACCTCGAGTTTGTACAGAACTGGGGAAAACTGCATTTTTTTATATTATGCACCCTGGGCATGGAATAATTTACAAAAAGATCTAAAACTAGATACATTTGTGTCTATTGGTGAATTGAAAGGCATCATAAAGAGAGGGGTATTGGAAGCTTGTGATTGTTTTTGTTGAGAGGATGTTTAAATATTGTTGTAATGTGTACGTCTTGTATTTTAAAATTGTCTTACTGTATGGCTGCTACCTTGGCCAGGTCTCTCGGAAAAAGTGATTTTAAATTTCAACTTCTTGGTTAAATAAAGGTAAAATAAAAAAGGCTGCATGGCTCAAAGGTCAGTGACATAGGATTTAGACAAAATTAATGTTAAGGATATAAATCTGTTATAAATAAAACAATATTCTAAATTGTTATCAAATTATATTAGTGATGTATTTGTACAACAAATTTTGCAATAATATTGTTAAAATGTGTTAAGAATACTTTCCATTTGAAGCGATCTATGTTGTCCCACTTTAGAAAAGGATGTTTCAAAAGTGAGACAGCACGTTTTGACTGATGTGGGATAGTCAAATATTCTGTTATTCAGTTGATAAAATGTGCAAAATATTTTGTTTAGCTGCCTGTCATGTGACCTTAAACCAACATCAGAGAACCATTAACATGCAAATGTGTTACTTATTAACTTACTTCCTTAAAACCTCAGGGTGTACTTCAAGTAAATATATGTTCAGCTGACAAAAAAGTTGGGGAATAACATGAATTTGTGAATTTTAGTGTGTTTGAAATACAAAAGCCTTCCAAAGATATAGTAATACCATACTCACTGTGATAATTCAAATAAAATTGAAATGATTTTTGTAAATCCAGTAGTCAAATGCTCGATTTTCTGTGTAATTATAGCCACCTGACTAGTGACTGGTCTTTGTGTGAATGTCCACAGAACAGGAAGACTTTCTGAATATATATTAGGTAGACTATTTTCGAAAGGAAAAAAAAAAAAGAAAAACAAATAAAGGAGAATCGATAAATTATAAATAATATAGGCTATTGCTATTATGTGAATAGGAAGTAATCAAAAAAGTAACTGTAGTCTGTGTTCAAGTTCAAACGGGAAATAAAAATGTATTTCTATCTATTATTCACCCAATAGCCTAAGAAAGTGAGTACAATTCTGCACAAAAATGTAGCGCAATAAAATGATATATAATAAAACGCAGTAGAATAATGCAGCTGCGCAATGTCGAATTTCGTGATTGGCCATAATACCTGCACGTTGTAGCCAATGGGCGTGCTTCTCTATTAGTGAGCGCGAGCCCTCACAGAACCGCTCATCAGAGCCGACCGCTTCAGGTAAATAAATTAACTAGGATGAACTTGAAATTTTGGATGCAAACCTGAACAGATGTGATAACAGAAAATTTGATATAGATAATGCTGTGTTTGTATCTGAAATGATCCAGGTTTTCGGATTTAATGTAAACTCTTGTTGCATTCAAATTAAGCGGGATAAATCCGTCACCGTAGGGCTCTTGGGAGTGGACACAATCGTGGCCGCCATATTGAAGGGTCGTAGCAACCCGATATGCTCAAAACTCTGGCCCCTTCAAAGGGCCCTTCGGAATGAAGGATTTCGAATTGTATAACTGATGGACATTTGGCTCCTATAATTTTTTGAGCTGGTTTAATTGTACGACGATGGCGCGTCCTTAGCTTGGCAATATGACGCAGACGTGTGTTTCAAGGAACATTTTTTTGGTCCCCTACACCCTTCGTCCCTTTGAAGCTCTCATTTTGTAGAGTAAACCCTTCGAATGGAATAGGGATGGAGCAGCTTCTGTCTGATAATGATGTCTATTCGGATAGTGCATTACTATCCGAATGATTTAGATTTTTTAGAATGCCCATTAGCTTAATTTCAATCCACCGGTTAACTTTTCCAACACTGTGTATACTGCATAAAATATTGGACTATTTTAACAATAGCTGCAGTAGTCACAGCAAAGGGCTGAATGAAAATTTAAATTCAACTCTCTGACACTAGATGAACAGAAATAGAACTGGGTCATTCTGTGTCAAATAAACCAAATTTCAGAAACTTCCCCAGCTCAAATTTTTTAATTTATCATTGTTTTTTTTTCTGAAGAAAGATTAACATATTATTCCTGCTGTGGAATATCACCTCATTGGAAGTGAGTAAAAGTCAAGTCACCTTTATTTTTATAGTGCTTTACAATATAGATGTTGTTACAGCAGCTTTAGAGTGATAAACAGGAAAATGACAGAATGAGTTACGGAAACTCATAGGACTGCTTGATAAATCATGTTTTAATTGTAATCACGATTTCTGCTTCTCTCAATTTATTAAGCAAAATCATCTTCAGTTGTTGCCCGCTGGTTATTTATATTGAAAACCGTTTCATTTTCATTTTGCATTTGCATCATCTTGTAGTGGTAGCAAGTATCCACAAGCTTTCATGGTTGCGGTTGCCAGATGTCAAGTGCTTTAAATGGACACATTTTCTAATAGCTCAAATTTTTTAATTTATCATTGTTTTTTTTTCTGAAGAAAGATTAACATATAGTGTTGAAAGCCAAAACAATTAAATGGTATTGATGTATATTTACTGAGTAATCCACTGGTTTGTAGAGGGGGGTCAAAATGACCATTTTCACCTGCGATTCGGAGCCAGATTACAGGGGGTAAAAATGATTTTAATTTAATTTGTAATTAGTGGTCTACCGATATTGGTTTTTTGACAGCCGATGCCGATATATTGGATAGCAGGGTGGCCGATATAATTGTATTTATTTTAATTAATATTTAAGAAATTTGAAATCATTTGAAAATGGATAAAAAAAATATTTATAAAATAAACATATTTATACTTTAGATGACAAAGTATTTTTCACAAATAAATAAATATTTAATAAAAATATAATTAAAAAGGACACTGTAACCAACAGGGCACTCAGTATTCTGGGAAGTTTGTGTGCATTGGGAATCATATTTTTAAAAATAAAGCCAAGGTAACACTCATTTTACATACAGCACACAGTGAAATTGACATGAATATGACAGTGCAAATGCATAAAGCGCAGCATAATTTGAAATCACGAATTTAATGTTTAAAGCATTCAATTTGCACGGACCGAAAGTCACGCAGAGAACACGCGATCATGCAGGTCACATGCACACTTCACAAGATCTAACAACTGGATTCGACTAAGATTGCAAGGTTTGTGAAATTAAATGTTCATTAGACATTCAAAGATTTGTTTAAATGATGTAAATGCGTATTTGCTGAATGCTGACGGCAAACAAGAAAGTATTATAATGTTTGCCTTTCTATTACTAATAATGTAAAAGCAATCGTTATAATACTTTTTGTATACATTTTAATTATTTTGTTTAACCGTTCTGTCTGATTATTAGACAGACTTCTATCTGTATTTAGACAGAACTGTTAACGACGACAGCGAACAAGAGGGGAGAATGTGAGCGCTGTGTGCTCAGGCGCTGCCGCTCTCAGCGCTGTCAAAATCAAACTCCCACCTCGAACGCATCGGTCAAACAGAAAAAAGCATAATTTGAAATCACGAATTTAATGTTTAAAGCATTCAATTTGCACGGACCGAAAGTCACGCAGAGAACACGCGATCATGCAGGTCACATGCACACTTCACAAGATCTAACAACTGGATTCGACTAAGATTGCAAGGTTTGTGAAATTAAATGTTCATTAGACATTCAAAGATTTGTTTAAATGATGTAAATGCGTATTTGCTGAATGCTGACGGCAAACAAGAAAGTATTATAATGTTTGCCTTTCTATTACTAATAATGTAAAAGCAATCGTTATAATACTTTTTGTATACATTTTAATTATTTTGTTTAACCGTTCTGTCTGATTATTAGACAGACTTCTATCTGTATTTAGACAGAACTGTTAACGACGACAGCGAACAAGAGGGGAGAATGTGAGCGCTGTGTGCTCAGGCGCTGCCGCTCTCAGCGCTGTCAAAATCAAACTCCCACCTCGAACGCATCGGTCAAACAGAAAAACTTATCGGCCGATGCCGATATTTGAAAAATGCCAAATATCGGCTGATATATCGGCCTTGGCGATATATCAGTCCACCACTATTTGTAATTATGTTTAAATGGGAGCCTGATTTGACGAAGTCATCATAAATGTATTTGAATACTGCTATTTACATGCTATTTTGGTCTGATCTATTTGATTAGCATGCAATAATGGCCAGCCATGATCTGCTGTAGTTCTGGAGAGGAGGATGACAGAGAGAGGAAACCATGGAGAAATACCTTCCCAAATATGTCCCATTCTTCACTCTGCTGGCTCTGTCAGGACTCTTATTCCTGCTGTGGAATATCACCTCATTGGAAGTGAGTAAAAGTCAAGTCACCTTTATTTTTATAGTGCTTTACAATATAGATGTTGTTACAGCAGCTTTAGAGTGATAAACAGGAAAATGACAGAATGAGTTACGGAAACTCATAGGACTGCTTGATAAATCATGTTTTAATTGTAATCACGATTTCTGCTTCTCTCAATTTATTAAGCAAAATCATCTTCAGTTGTTGCCCGCTGGTTATTTATATTGAAAACCGTTTCATTTTCATTTTGCATTTGCATCATCTTGTAGTGGTAGCAAGTATCCACAAGCTTTCATGGTTGCGGTTGCCAGATGTCAAGTGCTTTAAATGGACACATTTTCTAATAAAAAAAAGTCCTATCTTTTGTTTTGGATTGTTATAAAGTTTTGTGGATGCACTAAACAGTACAGCCATGGCCAGTCATGATCCACTAAAGTATTGTTCTAGTTAGTGAACAATCAATGGGTAATCCATCTTATTTGCAATGTGGAAGTAAGTAGTTCACATTTTTATTATTTGTGCAAGACTTACTTTTCATTTTTATGATAGCTAACTACCTTGAGGAAGATAATACTACAGTGAAGTGGTGTATGGTCACAAAACAACAGGTTGTAGGTAATATAATTTGTTAGTTTGTGGATGTAAATATAGAATGATTTTCTAATTATTAGATTTAGCACACAGCAGATCATTCACCTATTGCCATGTTACAATTTTGCTTGTGAAAAAACACATGAGGTTCTTACTGTAAGAATAAGGTTACTTTTAAAGTCAGGGTACAAAGCATGTTTTGTAATATTTTAATATTTCATGATCATGCACTTGTTTTCAAAGGTTATTGTAATAAGCCAACACTTATCTTGCCCTCTGAACTCTGGAAACCTTCTCATGCTTCTCTGTAATGAAATTTCACATTAAAGCTTCTGTGTTTTGTCTTCTGCAGAGCTGGAACTGTCAGAGAGTATCTACCTTCTATCAGCTTCAGAACAGCATCCAGTCAGTCTTAAAGACCTCTGAATTTTTTCTACCGGTGGAGTTTAACTACTCCTTCTGTGCCCACCTCGGCCAGGAGCCCAATGCAGAGGAAGCCAGGGAGGAGAGCTATCTTCTCAAATCCATTGCCTGGCCAGAGCCGTTGGTCCTGGGACTGCCGTTACGTCAAAGTAGCGATCCTGCACAGAGCTATTATATGATCCAAGACCCTGGAGATCTGCAGGTGGGTGGGCAACTGGTAGTGAAAGTGCAGATGCACAATTTTTTGGGTCAGCCCAAAAAACACGGAGGAGACTTTCTAGTTGCGCGACTTCACACGCCAGAACTGGTGGCAGGTGTGGCTGGCCAGGTACACGACCACAACAATGGAAACTACACAGTATTTTTCCCGCTTCTTTGGGCAGGTGTTGCCCAGGTGGAACTGACAATGATTCACCCCAGTGAAGCTGTGATGGTCCTCAGGCGATTGAGAGAGGAACAATCAGACCGAGTGTTCTTCAAAAGCCTCTTCCGTTCAGGGTACCTCTCTGAGACAACTCTGTGTAATTTGTGTTTGCCGCACAAACAGCAGCCGCTTTGCAACTACACAGACCCCCAGACTGGAGAACCCTGGTTCTGTTATAAGCCCAAGATGTTGGACTGTGATACACGGATTAACCACTCAAAAGGGGGGTATAAGAAACACCTTCTCACTGTTTATGAGTCACAGTTCTTCCAAAGGTGAGTCTGCATTAGAGTAGTGGTTGAGCGATATATTTATTTCTGTTGGCCGATGCCAACATCTACTGTGCATAGAATGCAGATTATATATATTATAAATATTTCAGTTTAATGATGAACATAGAATTTTTTCTACTTTCCTCATGAATGACACTTTAATTTTGTTTTGTTCTAGTGGAGTAAATATCAAAATTCCAATACATTCCGCAGGGGTGGACAATGTGACTGTTCAACCTGCTAAAGGTATTGTGGCACATGTAATATTATATTATTTACACTGCCGTTCAAAAGTTTGGGGTTGGTAAGATTTTTTGAAAGTTTTTGAAGGAAATCTCTCTCCAAAGCTGCATTGTTTTGATTAAAAACACAGTTCAGTTAAGAACACTCTGGCAATAGAACATAAAGATTGATTTGTTGCTGATTCATAACAGTTGTCTTTGGCTGTATATGGGGTTTCGGCTTTGCAATAAATTAGCCTGAAATTTACCTCCTACGGTACCATCAGCTTGACATTAATACAATAACTGTGGCTGTCCATGTTACACAAGAAGTTAGCTATTAATAGAAAATGATTTATGAGGATGATGCAGTTAATAGAGACAGTGACTATTATGTTTGAGGACTGCTTGCATGGCTTGTCATGATATAGTGATCTGAAATTGAGAGAGTTAAATATTGAACAGCAAGGGCACAGAATATACAATATGTGGAAGAAATAATACTGATGTCAAAAGAATGGGGATATGCCTGAGCTAACATTTGCAGTTGATTGAAAGGGCTTTATTTTATGATAACAACCAGCTGGATGTACATTATCCCACTTATTACACGGCTGCTTGCCACAAAAGTAAATAATTAGATCCATTGATCAGCAACAGTGGAGTGATACATTTCAGAGAGCTGTGTAATAATGTGCAATATTATTACAATTTAAAATGTTTTCTTTTTTAGTATATTTTTAAATGTAACTTAATCCTATAACGGCAAAGCTGAATTTTCAGCAGCCATTACTCCAGTCTTCAGTGTAACATGATCCTTTAGAAATCATTCCAATATGCTGATTTGCTGCTCAAGAAACATTTTATATTATAATAAGTGTTGACAATGTTGTGCTGCCTAATATTTTTGTGGAAACCATGATACACTTTTGTAACAATTTAAATGTGTTTATTTGTTAGTGTGATCAGTTTAATGCCTACTTGCTGAACAAAAGTGTTAAATGGTTAGTTCACTCAAAAAAAATTAAAATTCTGTCATTACTCACCCTCATGTATTTCCAAACCCGTAAGACCTTCGTTTGTCTTTGGAACAGAAATTAAGATATTTATGAAATCCAAGAGCTTTCTGACCCTGTATAGACAGCAACTATAAAAAAATATAAAAAATAAAGTTGTTAGTTTTGTTTTCTTTGCTCACAAAAAGTATTCTCGTAGCTTCATAAAATTACGGTTGAACCACTGATGTCACATGGACTGTTTTAACAATGTCCTTACTATCTTTCTTGGCCTTGAATGTGGAAGTTGTGTTGCTGTCTATTCAGGGTCAGAAAGCTCTTGGATTTCATAAATATCTTAGGCCCCGTCCACACGGAGACGCGATTAGCTGTATACGCATACGTTTTGTACCGTATAGGCATTTCGTCCACTCTGATCCGGCGTTTTGGGAGAGTGAAACCAATATTTTTTGAAACCGGGTCTCAGAGTGGATAAATCTGAAAACGCTGGCCTTGCGTTTTCATGTGGACAGCGAATCCATATATTTTCTGAAACGATGACGTCATCAGCCTACGTCTCGCCCCTAGTCAGACACCGCTATGTCACGTAACAGCAACAAAAACATGAACAAACACTGATTGTCTTTTTATTAACTAACATTAACACAGATTAATAAATGTATTGTTCCTTGTTCGTTTGTATACCGCACGCAAGGTTTATGCATAGTCCAAGTCTCCTTTTCTGTTTTTAGTGTATCTCTGTGGTAGAATTACAGCGCCACATTCTGGTCTGGCATGTATACTACATCGTTTTGTGTCGGTTTTGTGGTTTCGTGTGGACGCACATATTTCTTGAGACAAGGAAAAAAAAAGATTGGATAGGGAAAGCTCTGGCTTCGTGTAGACGTAGCCTTAATTTGTGTTCTGAAGATGAGCGAAGGTCTTGCGAGTTTGGAACGACATGAAGGTGAATGACAGAATTTACTAAACTATCCCTTTAACTTATTATTATTATTTTTTTTATAACTTACTGACCCCAAACTTTTGAAAGGTGGTATCATTTTAAATATACAAGAACAGTATTAACAGATTTAAATTCTAAGTTCTCATCAGCATTTTTTCTTTCTTTCTCTCATCATTATCATTTTTTCTTCTGTTTCCTCTTTCCTTTCAGTACAAACCAAAGGAATGCACCTTGAATTCACTCCTTCCGGGTACTACTACCAGGGATCATGGAGACCTTTGAAGGGTGTCGTCATGCGTCAGTTTAATGGCTCTTTAGTCATAACACAGTGTCTTCAAGGGAAAATGGTGTACATGTATGGAGACTCCACTGTGCGACAGTGGTATGAGTATCTCATTGCCCATGTTCCAGGTCAGTAATATTTTTGAAACTATTTTTAAACTTGCTGTATTGATTTGTAGTCATTTTTGTTGGCTTTGACCACATCTCCAACAGTTTTTCAGCCAACCCAATGTCAAAAAAGCAAAGCATGAAAAAAATAACAATATATAGTATACAGTCATATTGAATAGCTTCCATAAAAAGTACAATGTGAATGTAGCCTGAGACAACTGAAGTACAGATATTTATTTTTTTATATATATATCTTCATGCCAATTAAGTATTTTACACATTTTATTCCTGAGTGGGCATGAATCTATTGTCTTATCTACATCTCACCCTCTGTTTTATCTCACAATACAGAGCTTAAGGAATTCAATTTTCATAGCCCAAAGAATGTTGGCCCATACATGGCAGTGGACAGCAATCGCAACATATTATTGAGATACCGCTGCCACGGGCCACCGATCCGCTTCACGTCCGTGTCCTCAGCTGAAATGCACTACATCTCAAATGAGCTGGATGGCTTACGAGGGGGCTCGGACACGGTGGTCGTGATTAGTATCTGGTCGCATTTCAGCACTTTCCCAGTGCAAGTGTACATACGGCGTCTACGCCACATCCGCAGGGCGGTGATCCGACTGCTGAACCGAGAACCGGCGACTTTGGTGCTGATCCGCACAGCCAACCTCCAGAAACTGGACCCCGAGTCCAGCTTGTTCAACAGCGACTGGTTCTCCCAACAGCTTGATGCAGTGCTCCGAGCCATGTTTAAAGGTCTGAACGTCCGGCTGGTGGACGCCTGGGAGATGACACTCGCCCACTATCACCCTCATCAGCTACACCCTCCATCTGACATTATATCAAACATGGTTAACTTCATCCTATCACACATCTGTCCAGTGAGGAGAAAGAGAAGGCGGGGCTAAACTTCTCAAGCCTAGAGTTAATCTTCCATACCTCTGTCTTTGGGATCAGCTCTTTTGCTATCTATTCAGCTATTATTTGCTGTCTGTTTGGCTTGCAAATGTTTATAATGATTTTGCTGGCCGTATTAAAATGCAAAAGCATCATAACAGTTAATGTAGCCCTTTATACTTTTAATGGCAATATCCTGAGGTATGGAGAATCTTTTTTTTTTTTCTAGAACAAGTTTAACATTTTCCTAAAGAGAATAGATAATTCCCCCATAAAACATTTATAATAATGGAGCACTTATCATTATTGGTTTTACATTGGACTCTGGCAGACCACTTAATCGTGAATGAAATTCAGATTTCAGTAGTGTGCTTTTTCACCAAGTCCAGTGGCAACGAATGGATGAGGTTCTGTCAATTATTTGTGAAATGATTCTCAAATAATTTCAGCATATTTACATAGTCAGCAGGCGAAAACTAATCAAACGTATTTGCTTGTACTCCAGTCAGGGATTTGAGTAGAGATAGTTCAAACAAAAATGAAAATCCTGTCATCAATTACTCACCCTCACTTTGTTCCAAACCTGTATGACATTCTTTATTCTGCAAAAAAAACAAAACAAACAAACAAAAAAATACATTTTTAAATAATCTTCTTGTGTGTTCCACAGGAGAAAAAAAGTCATATTGGGTTGGAATGAGGGGGTTCATTTTTGGATAAACTATGAATGAACTAAAATTGAAGCCATCAACCTCAAGGCTGCAACTGTATGAAAAAGGAAAGATTAAATTATTTATGTATAAAACCGTTTGTAAAATAAAAATAGAGAATTACAGAAGAATATAGGGCTGCACGATTGTGACAAGAATCATAATTGTCGATTATTCCTTTGAAATTGTAATTGCGATTATTAATTTACGATTAAATGAATGATGTTTACACCTTTGTTTGAAGCAACTGCATGCCGTATTTTTATATGAAAATAAACAAGCTAAAAACACTAACTGAAAAACTTTTATTGCTTTTCTATAGTATTATGCCTCAAATGTCAACTATACATCGGATTGGTTTCTCTTTAAATAAAAAGGTAAAAATATGCATGGTATTATAATGTTATACTAAAATTAAAACAATGGAAAACCCCTTAAGATAACACGTAGAAAGAAAAAAACGCATCTTAAGCACGCAGAATAACATAAGTGGACTTTGAACGATTAAATGCTGCTTTGAACGATTATGTAATTGTGGCATCCGTAATTGTAATTGCGATTAGAAATTCGATTAATTGTGCAGCCCTATTACTATTACAGAAGTTATATGAGAGTATTATGAACTATGAGTGCAAGCACAACTATTTCTGTGCCTTGGTAAACAGGGATTGTGTTAGCTGGTTATTATCTGTATCTGTCCAGCTGATATGTTGGCCAAGTCTAGTCACGTGACAGAAGTATAAAGAGTCTTTGGAAATAAGGGGCACCAGTGTCATCCAGAGATATGAATTATACTTAGTCACTTATTTAAATATACATTTGACCATTTTGTTACAGCATGATTATTGATTTTAGTATTCATTTAGTCTTTTATACCCTTGATTAGTTTGAATATAATTTCTCCAATTCTGCATTTACCTCTGAAAGATCTGAAAATGTATATATTTTATTAATTCCATATGTTCCGTCTGTTCTATTTTATGTATCCAAAAGCAATGTAAAAGACATTTACACTCCAAAAATGGTTATTCAGATTTTTTGGAAGAGTTGTTTACGATCAGTTCATGTGCCTTATTTAACAATACCTATTTTTCTGTGGTTTACAGTGATGAAATTGGGTCTCTGTACTAGAGTTTCTCATGCATTTTCATTTTTATTTCTTGCGCTATGTAAAAGGAAGTTCTTAAAATTCTTCATCCGTCCAGTGTTCATGAATCGCCAAAATAAATTCATTCTTAAGCATCCATTGTGCTCGTCTAAACATCTTTTGAATGATCTCTGGCACTGCAGATCGGTAAATTATTTTTTGATGCAGTAAGATCCACTCAGACGAGAAAATTATCATTTCAAATATTAAATTATTGTAGAAGGAATAAGAATTTTTAAAAATATAATAAGCAAATGAGTTTTGTAGTAAATGTGAGAATAACAGACAAAAACTGAAGAGATAGAAGAGATAAAAACTGAGTATTCTTGATCACATGGATTCATAATGAAAGATTAATTTAAAAAGGGGCAAAAGTCAAAATAACAAAAACCCTGATTTTTTTGGAACAGGACGACTGGACAAAGGTAAGAATAATAAACTATGTGAATTTGAAAATGTTATTATTAATTATAAATTAAAATATATAAAATTGTACTTCATACTAACTAAAAATTTTTTTCAAATAATTTAATAGGTGAAATTCGCAGGTGTTATAAAAAGAAGCCACAAGCTGGGTGAAGGACGATTTGGACTCACTGCAAGGATGGACTTCAGGTTTCAAGTTTTTCTACATGCATAACTTTGCTGAAAATATCATATCAACATGCCCTGAGCCTCAGAAATTTGTGAAATTTGGCATGTTTCTTCAGACTATCTTGTTATGCATGTGTTCCACATTTTGTTAAGATTGGACACTGCATTCACAAGATTAATCATTATGGGTCTGATTCAAAAATATATCAGCCTACATTTCCACATGAAACCTAAAATATAATTATTTTATTACAGTCCTGTAGCAGCTGCTTATTCTTTGTTTACCACAGGCATTCAAATTAGTGAGAAATATAGTCAATCATTTTTCAACCAATGTTATATGTGTAAACAACCTGTAGGCAAAGCATTGTTTCACCATGTGGATGAAGCACCTTTCAGGGCTAAAATGGTTTTCCAGAAATCTGTTCTATGTGGATCTCATTCTACTGAAAGCTGTTTCTTGTAGCACCACACGAGGCCAGCAGTGTACTGTCACAAAAACATACAGTAGGTTAAGCGAGAAATAAGTATACTACTGCTTAGTACATACTATTTTAGTTTACAAATAATATTTGAAACATCATAATACAACAGTAAACCTTTCAAACTGTATTATGTTACATTGTTGTCAAATGTGACCTAACTATATAATTTAAGAGTGATTTTTAGTTGTCATCTAAAAATGCTTTATTACAATAATTTTGGCCGTCTGATAATGAGTCAAAAATAATGAGGTGTTAAAAAGCACAGGTGATACCGCCACCTCATATGTCTCACTGGAAACAGGTCAAGTTGTGTGCATTGCATTGTGGGATACATATGGTCAGGTTGTATAATGCACAATCTGGTGCGGTGTACAAAAAATGCATACTATGAGCAGGATAAACAGTAGAAATTGAATGAGTAAAATGGTAGTGTGATACTCCTAATTGGTTCAAATAATAAGTACTTTAAAGTATGTAATGATTTTATAATGCTGGATAAAGGTGAATAACTAGGCAGATCAATGCACATGAACAGTACACTTGATCATAAGGGCAAGACACTTTTAGTAAATTTGATTTTAATATTACTTTATTTTGACGTTAATCAACTTTCCAATATTACAGTACAGTTCAGTGCGTATTTTGTAATGTATGGGTTTCATGTAACAATTTCATGTTAAGGATATGTAAAAAGTTAAAAAATAAAATGTTTAATAAATATTTCCTAAGAAATACATGAAAGAGACTTTTCTCAAATTTATTTAGAGACATTCATTCAGAAACTGAGTGAAGAAATTCATGAATTATGATGGTAACTCAAGTATATTGGATGGAAAACACCTTTATCACCAAGTATTTGAAACAAGCCTTTTAAAGAATGTACAATCATACTAAAATGAATATGTAACATTTTGTGCGTTCTTAACAACCGTATTAATTGTTGCTATAGGTACTAGTGGCACGGGACAATGACCTGAACTCTAAAAGAATCAGATGATCTCTGTTCATGAAGAAAGTATGTGGAGGCTCTACTGGATGACTGTTGATGGAGGGGAAGTTTCTGGGGTACCAGTCGAGGAGAGTCCCTTTCGGTCCTCTGGATGCCCTTTACACAGCACTGGTATCAAGCCTGAGCTTCTTTCTCCTTTGCCTTCTGTTCCCGGTTATACCTGTGGGGAATAAAGAGCTCATATATTGAACATCCCTCAAATTACACAATATGCTGGAAGACCCGGTCTGCTTTATTGCTACCAGTCTTGTTAAAGTGTAGATAAGCATAAAGTAAGCTCACAGCAGATAAAATGTGGAAAAAGGTTGTTTTTTAATGGCACAACAGCAATAAAGCATACCGTTTTATTTAAAGAGAGGGTGTTTTATTTAGATTTAGAGAGTGCAAGACTTGATGCACTTCACTGCCAGACTGCGTCAGCTGAAGGTTTCTTTGGAAACTGAACAAAAGTCTAAAATCAAGAACATTCACCTTTTGCCTGTTTCCCCATTTACGAGATTTTATAGCATGTATTGTGTAGGTGAATGAGAGTACTCACTTCCATTTTCTGTAAAGCTGTGATCCTCCTGCACCTCCAACAAAGAAGTTTACAGCAAAAAGATTCCAGTTCTTGGGTATAATAACCAAGGAATACCTGGACCAAATAAGACCTGAAAAACAGAGAGTGAGGGAGATTGGGATCCTTGAATTGTTCAGTTTTTTTTTTTTAAAGAATTGGTTACTGTGTGAGATATACCCGTGGCTGTCAACACAGCAGATTGGGAGGTACTGAGTTTCTCTGCTGGACGTGTCATGTCTGCTAAGCCAGCTACGACCAGACCCTGTGTGAAATCAGAAATGTAACTATCTATATATATAAATAAATAAATCTCAATTAATCCAAAGAACATCCAGATCCTGTGTGTTATTAATCTCACCCATTTAAACATTGGTGCCCAGAAGAAAACAGTCTTTGGACCTAAACAAGGAGCAAATCAATACAGTTAAACTCATGTTTCACCGGTCAAATGTTCACAAAGAATGTGTGTAATTGTGACAGCAATCAGGTGTTTCAACATACAAAAAAAGTAGAATTTTGGGTGATTTTTACACTAAATACTTGTTCTTGCCAGTACATTTTGTGGCTGTGTTTTCATAACAAATATGTATAATATCTTCCTAAAATATGAAGGTAAATAATTGTTTTACAGCACTGAAGTACACAGACTTGAACCTGCATGCCTGTGAGCTGATGGCACTGCATTGTGAACATGTCCACCACACCATGCCAAAGCTCAGACTTTAATTGATTTTCAGTAAGAAATTCATTATACAATGGCTGATGGTACAAATGTTTAACCAATTATGGATTATTATTTGTAAACAATCAATGTTTAAATATTCAACAAGACTAACTGCACTGATCATCTTAGTGGAGTTCCAGCCATCAGTGATCTACATAATACAAAAAGTATGTATTAGAACATCAAAAAAACAATCTGCATTATAAAGATTAATGTTAATATAATTTAATAAAAGAGCAGTCATCTCTAGTGCTTAATATGACCCCCTCCCTCTGCCAAACGTGAAGCTGAGGTCAAAATCTGTATGTCAGCACTCTTCTTTTGTTTCATCTTTTTTCAGTCAGTCAGCCTCTGCTTATCAACACGCATGTAATTTGATCTATATTTATTCTACCACCAATGACTAGAACTATAAACACTTTAACTCCCTTTAGAGAACTCATGTGAGATTATTAGAACAGAAAATATTTTCAGTAATTCAGTAACAGAAAATATTACATTGAACGATTTCTGTTTCTCAAGGGCACTTTCCACAAATGCAGTAGCCGGGCACAGTACAGAATACAGGTTTTTTACTTTTTCATTACATGTACAATTAAAATCTTACATGTACAATGGGTTATTGTTTAAAATCATAAATATATTAAATAAAATTACAATCACATAAGTCATGACTTTGAAGCAGCACTATGTAACTTTTTCTGTGTTCAAAATTAGCAAAATTTATATAATGAGCGAGTAGATCATGAATTCATCTTCCAAACCGCGTTTTTGTCTTATTCCGAATCACTAGGGTACACTTATAATAAGTACTTATATTTGGACTATTGTAGCCTGGTCGGGTCGTCACCGCTGCGGAGTAACACATGCCTGCGTGAATCGCCATAGACGTAAATTTAGAGAAGTAGCTCCGGTTGGAATGCTCTTCCGCGGGATGTGTGCAGTTCTGTTTATTAACCGCTAGAGCGCCAAAAGTTACATAGTGCTGCTTTAAATGCATTTGTCGTGTCCCAAAATTTGAAAACACAAATTAGTTTAAACATAAGTTTAGGCACATTCTTTCACTGCCCAATTGATCAAAACGAAAAAAAACAGCGTTAATTCTTACTTATACGGTGTGTAAATACGTTTTAAACAATTTGTAAGACCGGTTTTGCACTAAAAAAAATCACCGAAAGTGCCAAAAACACAAAAGCAAGTTTGGCAAGCCAAGAACTGCAGACCAGTGTCAACAACACACCAATAAATGAATACATTAAAATAATAATAATAAAATTCAACATATTATACAGTGGCTATAATTCATTACCATATAATTACACGTCAAGCACCTCGATTCCATTCTAGGGTATGCATCTAAGGAGACTAATTCTGATCTATTCGTGCACCAATAGACAAAAACACCTGCTCAGGTAGCAGTCTCTATGGCTGCACCGTCAGTTCAGGGTATGCTGCCACCTCAAGAGGTTAACAGGATCAGTGACAAATAAACTGTCACACTAACAGCATTGTGTTACCTGCAGGGTGGTTATAAACGGGTCTCAGTTTAGCCGGCAGCATATGCTCGATCCTGTCGAGGATTCTGTGGTAAGAAGCTCTCAGCCCCACCATAGCCATGATGACTGCTAAACAAGCTAAATGCTACCACTGCACGCACGAGAATACCGCTGAGGACAGAGATTACCGCAAAGCACTGCTGCTATTGACCCGTGATGTTACCAAAAGGCAAGAGCCCGTAGTCAGGAAAACAAGACCTTTGGACGAGCATAAAGTACAAAGTCTACGTTATTGTCCTACTTTCGACCTTGCTAATGCAGTTTACTGCTATGTTGTCTTATTGTGAAGCGTCAGTGGGGACGCGTCGCAAAGCTAATTGCGTCATGACGTGGATGAGCCGCTGAGGTAAAGGATTGGTTAATGTGGTCAAGCCTCTTTGTGTGATTGGCTGGAAGGAGTTCGCACGCTTTTAAAAGGCGGGGCCTCGTCAGGAAAGAAGCTGTTTTTGCGGTTAAGTGGAGAGTATAAAAAGTGGAATGCTGGGCGTGGAAGTTAAAAGTTTCCGTGCATGTCCGTTCATTTCATTAAATAAATTAATTAATAATAAAAAATCGTCCTTCACAGTGTCCTTTTTGAGCGAAGAGAGTAGTATGACAATAGCATGTTCGAAACAAACATTTATTGATGGATTGGTTGATTTGTTTTGTTTAATACAATACTATGTGTTAATTAATATACTGCATTGCTTTTATATTTGCAAAACGTGTTTTGTCTAAATATTTTTTATATTTTTAAAAAAATTTTTTTTTTAAATAAAGACATTACTGGTAATTTACCATGGGCGTTCTTCTTTCGCACATCAGTTACACAATCTTCTCAACCAATAGATTGAAACTTTCGTTTTTAATATTTTAGTGTACAAATACTGTAGGTGAAACAAAAAAAATGGTGTTGAGATTTGAATGCAGTCGGTGATTCGCGAATCGGCGTAACTTGTGCGCACACTTGACGCTCTCCAGAGCGACCCACACATTACAGTCAACATACTGCGCGTCTCTTCCTTCCATTGGCTTTGGGCTCGAGATGGTTTTGACGTACCAGAGCAGCAGAGGCTAAAGCGGATAGCCAAACAAGAAGCGCAATATTTTTACTACACCTCAAAGCAATCATGCACAAAACGGAAACTGATCGCCGCGGGGGTGTCGATATCGAGGAGTAATATTTTCTCATTCATCCAGTATCAGCTGTCGATGAACTTATAGCGACTGACTATTAGGCGCTGTAAGGGGAAACAATAATAATCAGACGCCACTGAAGGAAGACAAACACATAAGAAAAGCGTCTATTCTCCCCTTTTCATCCATGCATGTCTCAACATTAGAGGTTTAAACACCATGTCCTGCTCTGGCAACCTCATTTGGGATGTACGAAAACGCACCATTGGATGCACAGATCCATATGCGGTCAGGACAAATTATTTAGGTAAGGATCTACGACCAATATCACACCGTTGCACTTGAAAAAAAGCTGGGAGACTTGTTGGCTAAGACTTTCTAGGTGACAGCTGTCATCTGAGCTTGTACACAGGGCAGGGACACTGGTTAAAGATCATCTGACCTGTTACTCTAATGCTGATCTGTTTTCAGAACGACATGTTATCGGTTACATTTTAATACAGAAAAAAACTCAAATGTCCAGCTGATTTGTCTGGGAGGAGCTCTGAATTAAATAGCATTGTGTTGATTTTTAGATTTAAGGGGAAGTACTACAGTTGAATTGGCTACAGTATTCTCCTTGCTTTTCTGAATTGTGATTTTACCTATTTAAACTTTTACAATATGCAAATGATGCATGTCTTATTAAATATGCACAGTTGGATATTATTTCAAATGGGAAATAGACCCCACTGAAAATTTCACAAATGTTAATATTGTTTAATGCTATCAATCCTTCGCGAGTCCTGTTCAAAAGGTTATGTTCCAAAATATATAAGCAAACATGATGTGGCATATAAAAATGAACCACTTCTAATTTATAATGAACTTTAAATTGCCAAGAAAAAAGATTTTCAAAAACAACGCTCTGACAATTAATAACAATGTAGTTTAAGTAGCAATATCTAAAAGTAGAAGGATCTACCTGTCATGAGATATTAATAGGTTTGTGTTTTTACATTTTACAGTATGTATACAAATTAGTGTATGCATTCATTGAATGTCTGCACAGATCTTAAGGGCAACAAAGTGAATAAATATTTATTTATGACAAAATTTGACACAAAACATGTTCTGTTGTTCTATAATGATTTTCAGTGTTAAGTACAGATATGGTTTGCACATAGCTTTGATTTATTGCTGTGTAGTACCGGGACTGCCGATGAAAATTAGCTACCTGGCTAAATCTGGCACATTTTGCGTAGATATTTGTGTATTATTAATGTGTATTGTCTCTGATTAAATAAATAATTAAATAAATTAAATATATATTTGAGCTCTTATTTATTTTTTGATAGAGATCCTCAGTATATTACCATATCGGGATTGTAAAATGTTTCCAAAAAAGTTCATAGTTCTCTCACACACACACACACACACACACACACAGATTCTTGTCAGCTGTTCTTGTGGGGACTCTCCATAGGCGTAATGGTTTTTCTACTGTACAGACCGTATATTCTATTGCCCTACACCAACCCTACACCTAAACCTACCCCTCACAGGAAACTTTCTGCATTTTTAGATTTTCAAAAAACTTAATTCTGTATGATTTATAAGCTTTTGTACCCGTGGGGACCACAATTTAGGTCCCCAACGTGACACGAGTCCCCATGAGTCTGTGTGTAGTCAGGTTTAAGTCCCCACCAGGATATATAAACCAGTACACACACACACACACACACACAGTAAATAAATAAATACAATTCTGTCATTTACTGATTCTTAGATTGTTCAAAACCTGTATTTCTTTTCTTCAGTATAGAGCACAAAATGAGTTATTTACTGGAATGCCCAAGCTGTGCTTTTCTGTACAATGATAATGAACAGAGACAGAAGCTGCTAGGCTCTAAAAAACAGCATAAAAGTACCTGTGAGGGTTTGAAATAGAATAGTGATGTCCGAATTTTCACTTTATCTAGGAGAGGAGATGCATTTTCGCTCAGTATTACTATGTGCCTCCATAGTCTTAATATTATGCTTTATAAGAATAAATAGAAATTGTGCTCATGGCTTGACAGTGAAGAGAATCTGACATGATCTGATCTTTAAAAGTCATTTTCACGCAAATCACCAAATTATACCCTACTGGTGACTTTGTAGATCTGTTATGTAGCCCTCTGCAACATAACACTTCAGCTAAGAGACCTGAGAGAGGTGTCAGCCATGTCTTGGCAGACTTCAAAGCACGCTTATGTAATAGAATCCATCTAGTCTGACCTAAATATGTATTTTAGATAATACCAATTTAGCTCATTTCTTCTCTGTAGCCTAAGAATTAAATGTGGAATTCTATGCGATTAATGGATTGTGCCAGTATCTTCAGTATTTGGTGTCTGTGAGCTGTTTTACCTTGGATCTCACATTCAGATAGTGATGATAGCATATCGTTCAGAGTGTTCCGTATTTAGCTCGGCTCTCGTTCATGTTATACCGCCTGCCAATGCTAACGGTTAGAAACACATACGGTATCAGCCAAAAAACCAACACAGAGTATCTCTGTTTTATGCATTTGTGAATGGACAAATGTTAACAACTTCTAGTTTACAAATTCTAACCCAGTTAAAAATCCTGAGTTTTTGCATGAATTTCAGCTTTTGTTTTCTGTTGGCAGACCATTCTCATCAATGCATAGAGCAGTGTTATCTCAGGCTACTGCTGTTCTCCAGGCTCGCATCATTGAAAATGGTTGACCTAAGTTTGGCACTTGCTATTTGTAGCTCCTTATTACACAGGCTGAAAATACAGTCATGGAAAGATCTGTCTTTTACCAACCACACACAGATATCTGCTTGTCCGGAATAGAAACATAAATGCTATTAATGTTTCTTAATGCAAACAGCATTGAATGTGGCTTGGTATTGTAGTTGTAAAGCACCAGTATTGTTGGGTTCTAAATCACAGTATTTGCATGTCAAATAAATCTGAGGTAATTTATAAGAGATTAGACAAGCAAACAAACAAAACAAGAACCAAATCAGGGTGGTTGACATGATTACAACAGTGAATGACAGGGTGTTTTCCATCTATGTACAGCGACTCAGCAAATGCAGGAGGTAATGTAATAGTGTTGTGGCAGTTCTCCAAAGCAATGAAGAAATCAGCAGCCATTAACAATCATTCCAGCCTTCTCAGCCACATTATATAGATTTGTGATTTCTTCATTTACACCATAAATGAGCTTTCAAACTTCTATTTGTGCCTATTATTCATATAAACTTGTTTAAATATTGTATAGCTAAGCTCAGCTCAGATTTTTATTTGATCGAAAATACAATGAAAACATAAATATTGTGAAATTGGATCAGAATTTAACATGAATTTATGAATGATATATATATATATATAGTGCTTATTGTTATTATTATCAATTTTGAAAACAGTTGCGCTGCTTAATATTTATGTAGAAGCTGTGATACCTTTTTTAAGGAATTTTACAATATCTATTTGCAATCGTTTTTTTTTTTTTTTTTTAAGAATTAGAAGAAATTGAATTGAATATAATTTATTATGAATTATAATTTAATCTAAATTTTTTTGTTAAATAAAAAGCATTAATTTCTTTAAAAAAACATCCTACTAGAAGATGGGGAGAAACCTGTTTGGAAACAGTCAGTTGTGCAGTTATATATTTGGTGATGCCAGTGGCACAGAGATGACAGTTTTAAAGAACTGAAATGAATATGGGACAGGTTAAATACTGTTCTTATTCTATGTAAATTAACAGACAATCCAAATGACCTTGGACATGAAAACTGCCACAGTAAAATGTATAAATGTTTTTTCTCTATAGGCAGAAGAGAGTTTGTGCAACGACTGAAACTCGAAGCTGTTCTCAAAGTGCATGATGGATGCGTAAGTCTTTCAAGTTTTTGTTTCACCTGTAAGAAGTCTCTAGTTGTGTCTGATGCTCTTGCCCCCCAGCAGTCTTTTTTTGTTGGCTAATTTTTTTCTTTGATAAATGTGCCTGTAGGAGAATGTGCCTGTCTGGGTTATATTGTCTCAGGGGAATCACTGTGCTTCTATTTTGTGTGAGTGTTGTGTGTGCGTCTCTTTCTACCCACTTACCAGCGGCTCCTGTTCTTTATCTGTCAGTGATTTTAAACTCAAAGGCTGATAGGCACTAGGCAGCCATCGGTGACGTTATTTTGTCAGTTCTTTACTGCTGGGACATCCGACAAACCCATACAGTGGGGCAAAAAAGTATTTAGTCAGCCACCAATTGTGCAAGTTCTCCCACTTAAAAAGATGAGAGAGGCCTGTAATTTTCATCATAGGTATACCTCAACTATGAGCTCCAATATAACCGTTAACAGACTGGAACAGGTTTCAATTTGTTTGTGTCAGTGAAAATTATTTGGTATTTTGCTATTATCTGGTAACGTCCTTCATACTGAGTATGGTAGTAATAGTTAAGTGACCTTTGTGAGCATTTGTGACCTAAAGATGGGTAGAAACACAGCAGGAAAAAAATTGCAGCACTTTAATATGGTCTACCAAGGGCTGATCATAATAAGCAGATACAACACATAGGCCTGTCGCAATAATCAATACACTCTAAAAAATGCTGGGTTAAATATAATCTTATATCGACTTATTGCGCAATATATGTACATGACCTCAATAATTTTTGGTGACGCAATATATTGCCCATTAAATTTACTTAAAAATGAATGTCACCATGTTTTGTACATTCCACTTGTGCCGGTGTCTTTTGCAGCTTCTCGTACATAACGTGTAGTCATGTGGTGCTAGTTCAAATAAAACAAAAAAAAGTTTCATCTGCAGATATGGTCTTGTTTAGGGATATGTGCCTTTGTGCATATGGACATCTGACTGCTAAGTAGTGATTGAGTTTCTCAGCAATAGTGTGCACCCTTAATTTACAGAGAAAAGAAGGTCAGGGGAAAATCTGAAGATGGAAAAATCTCCATATAAAGTTCTTTGTGCATTTTTCTTTTTTTCTACTTGTTACTTTGCACTTTTTGTTAGAAAATGTTTATTTACGATTTATTCAGTTTTTTTAAGGTATCTAATATTTTGATACTTAATTTCCATGATCTAAATATTCTTAAAAATTAAAAGTTTGTTGTCATTTGGAAGTGTGTAGGCCTTCTTGCATTATTATGCTGTTACATTATGATTATATATTCAGTGGCATAAAATGACAATAATATCGCTTATCGCAATTATTTCTGGGGCAATTTAATCGCACAACAAAAAGTTGTTATCGTGACAGGCCTAACAACACATGATCTTTGTAAAGCCCCCGCTGGTAGATGCCATAATTACACCATCTGGCTGTATCTTTGAATGTATTATGTATTCTGATAAACTATCACTACCATTCAAAAAGTTTAGGGTCAGTAAGATTTTTTTTAAAGAAATTAATTAATACTTTTGTTCAGGAAAAATATGCACATTAAAGTGTCATTAAAGATTTTTATAATGTTACATAATATTTTTTTTTTCAAATAAATGCCAGAATTTTTAAATTTCTGTTTATCAAGATATAGAAAAAAAATAACAGTTTCTAAGAATGTTTCTTGAGCAGCAAAACAGCATATTAGAAAAATCTGAGAAAAATCCTTTCTCTATTTTATTTATTTTAAAATTACATTTTAAATTGTAACAAAATTTCACAATATTACTGTTTTTTACTTAATTCTTGCTCAAATAAATGCAGCTTTGGTAAAGTGGTACACATAAAAGTTGTTCCAAACCTGAACGAGTTGTCTTTCTTCTGTTGAGCACAAAAGACGATATTTTGAAGAATGTTGGTAACAAAACAATTGACGATAGCCATTGACTTCCATTTTTCTATACTATGAAAGTCAATGGCTACCATCAGCTGTTTGGTTACCAGCATTCTTCAAAATATCGTCTTTTGTGCCCAACAGAATAGAAGCTCATGCAGGTTTGTACAAATGAAGGGTGGGTAAATGATGACAGAATTTTCATTTTTGAGTTATCTTTTTAAACAGACTTGTATATACAAGATATACATAACTAAAAAAAAAAAGACACAATGTGTAATTGGGTTGCAAGTAAAAGGTTGCAGATGTAGCATCTAGATATTGTTAGCTAGTGTTCTAAATCTAGCTTTCACTTTCTAGGGGCTAAATGTTGATTTATATTCCCATAAATTAAAGAAAAATATGTGTTTGACCATAAACTGCCCTTACATACATATCTAATTCTATCCTTAAAAAAACATGCCTTTATTGCTTTATAAAAGCTATTCCTATTTATGGAAATTGCTAACAGATGCAGTTTATAAACAGTTTGTTTATTCTGTTTGATCAGATGGCCTTCCTCTTTCACTCTTTTTGAACTCTGTCAGTTGATGTGAAAAATCAGGACAAATGCACAGAAAACCTGCTGTGCATTTTTAACTGCAAGAAGAGATAGGTGTCTTTTATCACCTGACTTTGGGGTAACGTTTCAGGTTCCATTTTAGTCTAATTTAAACCACACTCCCCGCGTTCACTAATGACACAGTTCAGGCTGCTTTCAACACTTGTTATTTTAACCTGCAATGCATCTTACTACATCTAACACAATCTAATTCCATCTCCCCACTACACAAAGCAGAGCCGTAGAGTGAAAAGCGGAAGAGCAGAATGAGGGATAAATGCTTAATCTCTCCCAGTGATGTTATTTTAGAAAGGCAGAGGTCAAAGGAAATGGACCCTGTGTGATGAGGTTTGAGCTGCTCTAGAAAGAGGAGGGGAAGCGTGTATCAGCCTTGAGTTAATGAAATATTGATCGCTTGCTCTTAAAGGCACAGGCAGCACACACTACCTCAGTCCATTTCAGCTCTAAAACCTCAAAGCAGGATTTTATGTGATGGTTAAAATAATGATTATATTAGGGCTGGGTAAAAAATATAGATTTCTCGATTTTAATCGATTCTCATTTTTACAAAACAATATCGTTTCTTAAATCCGGAGATAAAAGAAAGACTAAAACTTACCGAAATTCGTATCCTGTATCATGTAATTGCTCAATTAGTGTTTTAACCGTGGAAAGATGTCAATGTAACAGCTTGTAAACATGAAATCACGTAACGTCACATTTACCTCAGAAAAAACATATTTGGTGACAATAAACTCGTTAGTCAGGTATAGAAATGTACTCTAGAGAGGAGCATTTAGCTAAATATATGCACCATATAACATATTAATTACAGTTTTTACTGCTATTCAATGTTTTAGTAAATCCATCATGTTTTTATGACAGCCACCATTTAAATGTTTAAACGAATTGGAGTAGAAATATAATTATATAATTGTAACTTTATTATTATAAAAACTTAATTGAGTGTAATTTAAGTGTTTGTATATAAATCAGCTCATTTTAACCTTCAATATTATAGTAATGTAGTACCAACTGATTTTATGTATATTTTACAGTTTTAGTTGAGAGGTTTTTTTTCCTTGAGAAAATTTGGCATGTAGCCTACTGTACCTGATAAATATCCAGAATAATCGGTATTGAATTGAATAGAATCGAATTGGGAAATTTTTTGTCAAAAACAAAGCCCTACCAGTGGTGCTCTGTTAATGATGTCAACAAATAGAAATTACTTCTGTGGAACACAAAATAATAGTTCTTCCAAAAAAAGAAAGAAATACATTTTATGGGTTTTTGTATTTATGATGACAGAGTGTCACATTCTGGTGAGCTATTTCTTTAAAGGAATTGATGGAGATATACTAAATGATGGCACAGTTTATTGAACAGAAGAAATTAGCATTTTGTTTTAGGGGTAATCAACACTGTTGTTTATATTAGTTGGTATTTATGTTTCTTTAAAGGTTAACACCATATCCTGGAATGAGACAGGAGAATACATCTTATCAGGTTCCGATGACACTAACTTGGTTATCACAAACCCTTACAACAGAAAGGTAAGATAACAGCACAATTGCTATAAATTAAACTGTATTTCACTTTAGTAATGTGTGCTAATGTAGGCATTGTCTTAAAATATTGGATTATTTTTTATCTCTGGCGTGCATATTGTTATTGGTATATATTTGAATTTTTTAATTATCGGTATCGGTGGATATGATTTAGTCTAATTTACATACATGTATAGGTGACCTTTGCTGTCGTCTAATACTCATTTAAAGTTAATCTTTAAGAGCCAAGTCATAATTAAATAACTGTTAAATGTATCATTTCATGCTGTCATTTTTTTAAATATTGATTTTAAGTTTATAGTGCTTTATTGTTTTGCATTTTATTTAGATAAAATACCATTTAAAATAAATTCTATAGAATATAGAATTTTTTATATAATCCATTTCTGATGCAGTAACATTTATATATCTTTTTTGAAAGAAAAATGAATACTTTCATTTATCAAGGATGCAGTCAATTGATCGAAAGTCATAGTATAAATTATTTATATGTATATATATGTTACAAAGATGTATGTTTCAAATAAATGCTGTTCTTTTGAACTTTCATCAAACAATCCTGAGAAAATATATCAGTTTCCACAAAATTATTGAGCAGCACAACTGTTTTCAACAGTGATAATAATAAGTGTTTCTTGAGCACCAGAAATCATATTAGATTGATTTCTGAAGAATAGTATAACTCAGAAAACTGGAGTAATGGCTGATTAAAATTCAGCTTTGCCTTCAAAGAAATAAATTACATTTCAATATTTATTAAAACAGAAAACAGTTGTTTTAAATTATTATATTTAAATAGTTTTTACTATATTTTAGATCACACAAATGCAGCCTTGGCAAGCACAAGAGACTTCTTAAAAATGATTACCCTTTTGAACATTAGTGTACATTATTGATTATATTCCAAATGATACTCTTAATCAATCATGTATCTAACAGCACTGTTCTTTCTATTTGACTTTTGTGTTTGATTCAGCAATGTTTATTTAAAGATTTCCTGATTCATAAGTTACTATTCACATGTTTATTCCTCTTTTGCTCTCCATGTTGTTCCCCACTTTCTCTATTTCTCTGCTGTCCCTTTTTCAGGACATTTTGATTAATTGCCGGAGAGCCGCTACCTCAATATCCATTTGCCCCCTGGTCCCCTACTATCTTGCTGTGGGCTGTTCAGATAGCTCAGTGAGGATCTATGACAGAAGAATGCTGGGAACAAGAGCTACGGGTGAGAAATGATTCATGTTCAGCGTTTCAGCCTTTTGTTCTTCTGTGTATCAGGTTCATGGAGGATATATGTCAAATATATGTCACGTGATTTAATGATCTTTATATTTAACATTTGGAGTCAGATATGGATCTGAGTCCTTTCTGTTTCAATTACTGCAATGAGAGGTCTTAAACTCTCAGAGCTCTATGAAGCATTCTGTTGCATTCTGTTGCTAGAAAGAAACCCACATTTTTAAATTACTTTTTATAATTTTTCTGTTTCACTAGGTAACTACATGGGCAGAGGGACGACCGGCATGTGTGTACGTTTTGTCCCAGCCCACCTGTCCACCAAATCCTGCCGCGTCACCTCTCTGTGTTACAGTGAAGATGGACAAGAAGTGCTGGTCAGTTACTCCTCTGACTACATCTACCTGTTTGACCCCAGAGATGACCAGGCCAGGGAGCTCAAGGGCCCTTCTGAAGAGCGGCGAGAGGAGGTAAGCAGATATCAGGAGGATGATCACTGGCCATTTTTATAGTAGAGCTTATAGTGTGTACCTGAGGTAATTTGTTGTCAGAGCAGAGGTTGCATTGCCCGAAATTATTTTTTTAAAAACATTGAGCATTTGCTTTACATCATTTAGATAAAAATAGTTCAAAGGATTTACAGTGCCGTTAATCTACAGGCGTCCCGAGTTCAAATCCCGACTCGAGGACCTGTCTGATCTGTCCTATCATAATAAAGGCAAAAATGGCTAAACTAAATCTTAAAAAAAAAACGGTATCTGGTTTATTGCATTTCCCTACTTCAGAAACATTCCGTTAGTACAGGATGCTAATAGCGATTAGAAGTGAAGAAAAGTGGAGAAAATAAAGATTTAAGATTTAAAGCACCTTGTGAAAATATAGACAAAGAGAAAGATGTGAGTGAGGATTTGTGTAGAGAAAATTCAAGTGTAGGCCAGTAGAATAATTCATGGGAAATTCATTAAATCAGAGGGTAAGATCACAAGAATACAGTGTCTCTTGTCATTTTCACATTGTGAGAGCAGAACAAAAAGGAAAAAATCTGCAACACAGCACTTGACAAGACTGCAACAGCTCTTGCCACAGAAATTCTTGTGATATCAGTGTCATGTTAAAAATACCAAGCATTTCAATATTTGTGACCCTGGACCACAAAACCAGTCTTACGTCGCTGGGGTATATTTGTAGCAATAGCCAAAAATACATTGTATGGGTCAAAATGATTGATTTTTCTTTTATGCCAAAAATCATTAGTACATTAAGTAAAGATCATGTTCCATGAAGATATTTTGTAAATGTCCTACTGTAAATATATCAAAACTTAATTTTTGGTTAGTAATATACATTGCTAAGAGCTTAATTTGGACAACTTTAAAGGCGATTTTATCAATATTTAGATTTTTTTGCACCCTCAGATTCTAGATTTTTAAATAGTTGTATCTCGGCCAAATATTGTCCTATCCTAACAAATCATACATCAATGAGAAGCTTTCAGATGATGTATAAATCTCAGTTTCGAAAAACTGACCCTTATGACTGGTTTTGTGGTTCAGCGTCACATTTAACCACAACATGGGTAACCTGAGGTTTGTTATAGATGCATTGACTTTGAATTTTGCAAATCAAATGTTTTCATGCTGAATTAAAGGAACAGTTCACCCAAAAATGACAATTTGCTGAAAATTTACTCTCCTTTAGGCCATTCAAAATGTAGATGAATTTGTTTCTTCATTGAATCAATAGAAGGAGAAATTTTGCATTACATCACTTGCTCACCAATGGCTCGTCTGCAGTGAATGGGCGCCATCAGAATGTCCAAACAGCTGATAAAAACATCACAATAATCCACGAGTAATTCAAACGACTCCAGTCCATTAGTATAGTCTTGTGAGGCAAAAAGCTGTGGGTTTGTAATAAACAAATCCATCATTAATCCATTGCTTTAGTTTAAAATGCCAGTCCATAATCCATAATAATGCTTCTTCCAGTGAAAAAGTCCATGGGATTGCTTGTGGATTATTGTGATGTTTTATCAGCTGTTTGAACTCTCATTCTGACGGCACCATTCACTGCAGAGGATCCACTAGTGAGTGAGTGATGTAATGCTAAATTTCTCCAAATCTGTTCTGATGAAGAAACAGACTCATCTCCATCTTGGATGGGCTGAGGGTGACTAAATTCTCAGCAAATTTTAAAATATGAATCTTCATGGTAAACAAGCACTATTTTAAAGTGAACTGTACAGGTGCATCTCAATAAATTAGCATGTCGTGGAAAAAAAACTCAAATTGGGAAGCTCGTGTATTAAATAAATTAAATGCACACAGACTGAAGTAGTTTAAGTCTTTGGTTCTTTTAATTGTGACGATTTTGGCTCACATTTAACAAAAATCCCACCAATTCACTATCTCAACAAATTAGAATACTTCATAAGATCAATAAAAAAACATTTTTAGTGAATTGTATTTGAAAGCATGAGACCTATGCTTCCTCTGAGCTTGACTACAGACACCAGAGTGCTGCTTGTTCACTCTGAAACATTCAGACTATGTATCATGTAATGAAATTGCAACCTTTTGTGGTTTATTAATCGCATAAGACCATATCCTACTTTCGATTTGAATTCCATCATTTGTGCAGCCCTAATGGAAATGGAGCCAGACATCTGAAAGTCAAGAGCGACTGGTCTAGGGGCAAGTGTGCGCTGTTAGTCTGTTCATGCCTAAAGCAAAATCGAAATAAAGGACTTTTGAAGTTCCCTGCGCTCTTGTCTCATGCACTCTGTATAATCCTCAGCAGTACTGTGCTTCAGTGGTGCAGTTTGAAATTAGCTTTGTAGAGGATGTCAGAGAGGATGGATCAAATGACATTGATGCTATGGTTTAGGATGTGGATCACTGCTTGCGGCACTGCTGAGAGATATTTCCATGTTAAGACTGATTCTGGCCAGGGAATAAAAATATGCAATAGGGAATTTTATATCTTAATACCATATTGATGATGTAACAAATGTATTCATTGAGTGAAATTGTACAGTAACACGGCATGATTACATGAACCTAAATACATTTTCCAAGTACAATTCATTTATTTTATGTGTAAAACTTTTTAAATTAGGAAATGTATGACTGACTGCAACTTTAAGGGAAAGAAAAAGCAAAGGAAGTTAGACAGGCTTTGTGATTGTTACATCGTGTACTAACCAGGCGTGATGCAACACGTTTCCGGCAACAATTATCTGTCACAATGTGTCACATTTTTGATACCAGTGAAGACAATCACAGCCAATCCACCAGAAGCATAACACCCATGCAGATTCATTAAAAAAAATAAGTTTCTTTCTCTTATGCTCATTTATTTGGCCAAACATCAAAAATATGTCTATTTTTGTTTTGCATTTATACTTAAACAGTAGGCTCCTTAAACTAAACTGCCAGTCTACATCTTCCTTCTCTATTGGGACTATAGTGGTGAAATTTGCTGGGTCACCGCTTCAGTCCCTTCAGCTGTTGTACGGTGTGATAAGCTGTGTCCGGATCCCCCGCGATCAGATTCCTTTCCAAATAGAGGTGCAGACACACGCAGAGCTCCACAGCTGAGACAGAAATAGGCACCCAGTGCACAGTGACTGCCAGTGAGAGTGAAGGAGCTCCTGTTGACTTCAATAAATCTTTGTTACAACACCAAGGTTTTACTCCACTCTTTTGCAATCAGTGAATGTGGAGCTAGAGCAATGTGAAATTGTTGAGGACTTAGTCAAGTCAAGTCACCTTTATTTATATAGTGCTTTTAACAATACAGATTGTGTCAAAGCAACTGAACAGCATTAATTAGGAAAATAGTGTGTCAATAATGCAAAATGACAATAGTAAACACTCATTTTTCAGTTAAAGACAGTTCATCATTGAATTCAGTGATGTCATCATCCAGCTCAGTTCAGTTCAAATAGTATCTTTGCAATCATTTGCAATCAAGTCAAGCAAGTGTGCGCTGTTAGTCTGTTCATGCCTAAAGCAAAATCGAAATAAAGGACTTTTGAAGTTCCCTGCGCTCTTGTCTCATGCACTCTGTATAATCCTCAGCAGTACTGTGCTTCAGTGGTGCAGTTTGAAATTAGCTTTGTAGAGGATGTCAGAGAGGATGGATCAAATGACATTGATGCTATGGTTTAGGATGTGGATCACTGCTTGCGGCACTGCTGAGAGATATTTCCATGTTAAGACTGATTCTGGCCAGGGAATAAAAATATGCAATAGGGAATTTTATATCTTAATACCATATTGATGATGTAACAAATGTATTCATTGAGTGAAATTGTACAGTAACACGGCATGATTACATGAACCTAAATACATTTTCCAAGTACAATTCATTTATTTTATGTGTAAAACTTTTTAAATTAGGAAATGTATGACTGACTGCAACTTTAAGGGAAAGAAAAAGCAAAGGAAGTTAGACAGGCTTTGTGATTGTTACATCGTGTACTAACCAGGCGTGATGCAACACGTTTCCGGCAACAATTATCTGTCACAATGTGTCACATTTTTGATACCAGTGAAGACAATCACAGCCAATCCACCAGAAGCATAACACCCATGCAGATTCATTAAAAAAAATAAGTTTCTTTCTCTTATGCTCATTTATTTGGCCAAACATCAAAAATATGTCTATTTTTGTTTTGCATTTACTCTTAAACAGTAGGCTCCTTAAACTAAACTGCCAGTCTACAGCTTCCTTCTCTATTGGGACTATAGTGGTGAAATTTGCTGGGTCACCGCTTCAGTCCCTTCAGCTGTTGTACGGTGTGATAAGCTGTGTCCGGATCCCCCCGCGATCAGATTCCTTTCCAAATAGAGGTGCAGACACACGCAGAGCTCCACAGCTGAGACAGAAATAGGCACCCAGTGCACAGTGACTGCCAGTGAGAGTGAAGGAGCTCCTGTTGACTTCAATAAATCTTTGTTACAACACCAAGGTTTTACTCCACTCTTTTGCAATCAGTGAATGTGGAGCTAGAGCAATGTGAAATTGTTGAGGACTTAGTCAAGTCAAGTCACCTTTATTTATATAGTGCTTTTAACAATACAGATTGTGTCAAAGCAACTGAACAGCATTAATTAGGAAAATAGTGTGTCAATAATGCAAAATGACAATAGTAAACACTCATTTTTCAGTTAAAGACAGTTCATCATTGAATTCAGTGATGTCATCATCCAGCTCAGTTCAGTTCAAATAGTATCTTTGCAATCATTTGCAATCAAGTCAACGATATCGCTATAAAAGAATAGCTCATTTTATCCCTCCATGTGAAGTGGAGAGAAGCTGCAGTGCTCATTATTAGATTATTTTTAGAATGAAGGCATTGGTCTCTGCTGTGCTTTGTTTGGTCTAATGTGGCTGTCTTAGAGCCGGTGCTTGTCTTGTTAATGCACCCTAGCACCCAAAATAGAGTGTCCTGACTGACTGAGATGGTAAAAGTGTGAGAGTGAGGCACGTGACAAAGTGGCCTCAATAGTTTTTCCCATCAACAACCCAAGGTCTTTCACTTTTTTTCAGACCCTCGTTGGATACGGAAACCACTTGATACATATTGTGTCAAATTGAGTTTTGCTTTTTAAAGGGATAGTTCAGCCCAAAATAAAAACTAAACTCATTATTTACTTTCCTTCTTCAGTGGAACACAAAAGAACATATTTTGAAAAAATGTACACACAAGGAAAATCAATGGGGTGCAATGTTGTTTGGACTTCACTGACTTTAAAAATACATTCATTACATTACATTACTTATGAACTTGGGCGGCACAAAGAGATAGATACATTTACTTAAACTTTAACTTCTTATTGTAAGCTTTTGTTGAAGTGAACTTAATTTTTGTCTAATGCTTATTTTAATTGTTCAAAAATTACTTTTTTATCAAACAATGTAATAATTGGTGAACCCCCCTGTAAAACACCTCTGGTTTCAATCCATGATGGCAATTCTATTTCACTTTGCATTGTACCATTATGAGATCTGCCCTGATTAAAATGTTTGTTGGTCATACTTCCTGCAAACGTGCCGGGCTAGATGATTCTAAAGTGATGTCAAGTCTCGGGGTAGAGAGTGTTATTTTTAGGGCGTGTGAGAGGCTTTGACTGTGACTGACAGCTTGTTGATGTGTCTTCCCACAGCTGAGGCAGCCCCCGGTCAAGCGCTTGCGTCTGAGAGGCGACTGGTCGGACACAGGACCGCGCGCTCGGCCTGAGAGCGAGAGGGAGCGTGACGGTAAGATGAGAACGCGCAGGCCCAAATGCTGGTGTCACAAATACTGAACACACAGCAGCACGGATAGTACATATACACAGGCGAATAAACACTGAGGACTGTTTACAAACACACTTATTTGGTGACTTCAGATTAATGCACCAGGAATAGATCCACAGATATGTGTGTTCTTGTACTTGTCAGAAATCATTGATCGATTTTGTTTTTTTACATTTATTTTATTTTTTTAGACTAACAGATGTTGTATAAAGCAGCTTATTTTATATGATAATCAGCACTTCCTAGTCTAGCTAAACTCCATTACTTATAAATTCCGTAAGACCTGAAAAGTGTAACCCATCCCACACCATTTATTATACCAATTAGCAGCATTTCATAGTTAATCCAAAATTTTATTTTTATTTTATTTTATTTATTAGCACTTTCTACTTAGCCACACGCCGTCAAAAAGGTCTGTTATACTTTAAAACTGTATTAAAATGTTAAAGCATCAAGGCATTGTCTACCATAGTTGTTTACCACAACTCATTTGCACATCCACTTCAGCTCCAGCTGTCTCCTCCATGAACAGAGCTGTTGTCCGCACTGGCATTCTCCTCCATGTTTTTAACGATCTGAGGCCTGAGGTCTCTAGTGTCTCTCAATACATCTTTAGGCCCAATCCCAATTCTACCCCTTAGCCCTTCCCCTTTCCCCTACCCCTCCGTTTCACGCGTTCAGGTGAAGGGGTAGGGGTGTCTCAATTCTCTTTAGGTTGGAGGGGTAGGGGTAGGCGAAGGGCCAGACAGCCCTTCAAACGAAGATTTTTCGGGACCACACTTCAAACGAAGGGGTATGAATTATCTCAGCGTAAACCGGCTTCAGGGGCAACATGGCTGCCCGAGCGAACAAAAAGACACATAAATGTAAGCATTTTTGGCATTAATAAAGATTTTAACGAAAAGTAATCATTTGTTTTATGTTGCATTCAATCGTGAGTTCATATTACGGTCATGTTACTCAAAGAAATGTTTGCAAAAAATCTCGTTGCTGGAAAATATAATGTAGCGATTCAGTATTTAAACTGTTATTAATAAAAGTCATGGGGCAGCGTTGACAAGTTTCTTTTCTCCTGGATGTGTGAGCTGCGCGATCTCCGATATATATATATGTGTGTGTGTGTCAGTAAGCAACATAGAACGGTAATTAAAAGCTCTAATGCACACCAGTATATGTGTGTGTAATGTAGGAACTAGACGACGTATGATGACGTGTGACGGCATAGTAGTGGTGTCCCAATTCTTTGGGGAATATTTTCACCCCTACCTCTTGACACTCTGTTTCAAGGGACAAGGGGAAGGGGTAGGCGGAGGGGTAGGGGAAGGGGAAGGGGAAGGGGTATAAAATAGAATTGGGATTGGGCCTTAATCTCCCTCAGTACCTCTTGACTTTGAATATCAACAGCTTAGTTTGTCTAAGGGGAGCTTGTTAGTTTTTCACAGGGATTTAGTCCAAAGACTGCTTTACTTCACTACTTCTTGGCGTATTGCAGCTTGCTCTTGATGTAAACAGCAGGCTTCCAGTGCATCTGCTTTCTGTGAGTGGAATGATTTAGATTCTGATTTGGTTTGATATTGATCATGAAGAAGTTCGTTGTCTTTGCAGGAGAACAGAGTCCAAATGTATCGCTCATGCAGAGGATGTCAGACATGTTGTCACGCTGGTTTGAAGAGGCCAGTGAGGCCCAGAGCAGCAGAGCACGCCCTCAAACTCGACCCAGAGGTAAAACAGCCTTGGTCCACACTGAATGTACTGAATATACACACTATGAATATACTGATATATTCTTTTATATATATTTTCAAAGTTCTTTTTTGTTCTTTGATTTGGGATAGAAAGAATTTCCATATGTAAGCAGTATACTATGGAAGGCCATTTGCACCACTGAATAAAATAAAAAAAACGATAATTGCGACTTTATCTTACAATTCTGACTTTTTTCTTGCAATTGCGAGTTTACATATCGCAATTCTGACTTTTTTTATCAGAATTGTGAGATATAAATTTGCAGTTGGGAGTTATAAATAGGGCTGTGCAAAATTTTTTTTAGATATTTATTTCCGCCAACATTGAACATAAGATTTACGTTAATCTTATTACTAGTCTAAGCCACTAGATGTCACCCCCTTATTTGCCCTGCGCGATGTTACAACGGAGAGTCCGTCATTCATTCATTGCTTAAAATGGCGGATCCAGGGCTCTACAGTGCGGCCATTTCAGTTGCATTGTGTGTGTGTGTGTGCATAATATTATATGTATATATCTCCTTAGATTCTCATTACTAATTGTAACTTTTTTTAAGTGCAACAAATAATAGCACGAAAATATTTTACAATTTAAATAAGTCATAGTCTTTTTTATTTCATATTTATTTATTAAATGTATTTAAATTTGAAGAAATTTGAGGAAAACGATTGATTGATAGATAGATTGATTGTTTCGGGGGAATATGAATCAATCAATTAATCAACTGAATACGATAACATTGATAAAAATGGATTTCCTTCAAGTGCACAAAGAAAGCGTATTCTATTCGTTGTGATTACTTACCAAATGTGCAATGTTTTCAAAAATACAAATAGCCTAAATGAATACAACCAAAGTCAGTTTCAGTTCTTTTGATACAACACAATAAAATAAAACATTTATAATGTATTGTTATAATTAAATATTTAGTGTCATTTGTTTGTTTTGTATTCTGATATTATTTTGATTATTGTTTTTTTTACATACAATTTGTACTATGTACTATTATATATATATATATTAAATTATATATAAAATAATATAATTAAAACAATATTATCAGAATATTAGAATATTATTTATATATACACACACACACACACACACACATACACACATGTGTAACCATGTCTTGAACATTGTGGGTGGGGGACCAACTTATTATTACAAATAATAAATAACATATAATAATTAATATAAATAATACTCTATCAATTATATTATTATATATATATATAATATTATTATGTATATATTTATTTATGGGTTTTGTATTCCGAAAATTTTTTTTGTGGCAATGACATGCATAAAAACAGTTTGAAGTCGAGCGCGAGTAACTTCCCGCATTCCTCCGCGCGGGGCGTCAGTTCACTCCATGCTGGTCATGGCGACGCTGCGTTCATGTCCATGAGGCGGGAAGCGCGAGCTCCTTACGCGGTTTGAAGTGATCTCAGACAGCGAAATCAACGATGGCTGGCGTCTTCGACATCGATCTGGACCAGCCGGAGGAAAATGTCTCCGATGATGAGCTGGAGGAGGTAAAGGACGGGCGGTGTTTTGAAGGAAACGGCACGCGGGAGTGTTCAGAGTGCAGGCCTGAGGCCCGAGGAACAAGCGTCGGGCTGCTTTATGTTATGCTAACAGGCTAACGCGATTACTCTACAGTGTGTTTGATGTACTGAATAACTGCTATTCTGCCTGTCAGCGCATGTGTCAGAGATATTAGCGTTTGAAGTGCTGAAATATGATTTATACGCAGTAGTCAAAGATACGAACTGGAGTTAATAGTGTTGTATGTGAGCTTTCGACTTGGCAGTAACGTACAGTACAGGGAATTTAAAGGGCTGCATGTATGTGTTTCCTTTCACATCAAAACATGCAATGCAGCGTACCTTAGGTGTATACATGCATATTGCTTAAAATTATTTATTGACTTAACATGCATTTTATATTTACGAGGATCAGTCAATTAGGAGTTACAAGACCATAGATGGTGCATGTCATCTTATGGGATCTCTGGGAATAGTATTGCGAAATCCGAGCCCTTACGCTTTCATGTTCAGACTAGAAGTGCTGCCAGCTGTTGCCTCGTAACGTTATCTGCTCGTGCACTGATCATCTCTCCACCCGACATAATTGCAGTGAATTGAGCCTTTATTGATTATGCATTTCACACCTCTCTTCGGCAGGCTCAGATCAGTGACCTCATGGATCAGTGCAGTGGCTTTGAGTTGTAAGTATGCGCAGTGGTTGCAATAAAAAAAAAGTCAGTTTTTTTTTTTTTTTTTTTTTTTTTTAGTATTTTAATTTAAATTAGTAATATTTCTTAGATTATAAAAGGAACTAGCTAGAAAAATAAACCACATCAATGTTCTAATGCAGATGAGAGGTATATTAGGCCTGGGCGATAAAACGGTATCAATATTTATCGACGGTACACCTTCTTCGATAACGATATAAAAATGTTCGATATAGCGCACGATATAGGCACATGCTATGAGTGACGCAGACAGCACATACAAACACATGCTGAAATGAGTGCTGTGCCTGCCTGTGATGAGGAGATTGTGAATAAAGAATGAATATTAGTCGAATTTAAAATAATCATTTGCATTTGAATGTTAGGTGTGCATCAGGGAGCATCATCAGTGTCGCGCGAGAGATGCGGTGAAGATCTTGATTAGGTTAAAACCGAAACCAAGCCATTCACACAGATGCATATTCAGCGCATTTTTTAGATGGACAAATATGACTGCTGCACTCGCGTCTCACAAGAGATGTATAGAAAGCCATGCAAAGTTAAAACCGTTTAAACTTTTAGAAAACACGTCACGAATTTGTGGAGGTTTATTCCTTTTCACTGCGTCTCATGTTTTTAAGTGCAATCTGTGTGAATGGCGATTCGGCTCTTTGGATTAAGCAATACATAAATACATGATGCGGTTTTGTTCATAATTGTTTATGCAATTTTTAAATGCACTACATTATTTTGCTCATTGCGCCCTCCTGTGGCCTCGGACTGTAAAAAGTTTACTTACGACCTATTTAATCTGCATATAAAACATTAGAAATGAGATTTAAAACAAAAAATATTTGTTGTTTGTCTCAATAAATTGGGTTAATTTAAAAATACAGTGGTTACATTTAAACAGTTTTTTTCTATTGCTCTTTGTTTAAAAAAAGGTTATAAAAAATGTCAATAATTGTCGATACCGAATTATATGAAACATTATATCGTTGATCAATTTTTTAGCTATATCGCCCACCCCTAGGAATAATGCACATAATCACTTTATTTCTGGTTTATTCTTATAGTAACATGGACGACTGTGAGAAGATTGAGATATCGGAGGACAATGTGAACCAAGGCACTGAGAACATCTGTACAGAGTGTTTTGAGCTTCTTCGTGTGTTGGGGAAAGGAGGTTATGGAAAGGTATTTTTTTTAAATTAATGTATCACTTTAAAATATTCATTTTATTTATTTATTTTTAAAGCACTTTTCACACTATACCGTAGCTCCAAATCACTGAACACAATTACAATATTACAGTACATTATGTTAAACGTAAAAACAGAAGTGTGTTAAAATGTTAAAAGGCTAAAGAGCACAAATATGACTTTATACCAGGAAGCAGCCCCAGCACAGACACACCCAATTAAATTACACCCAATTAGTTTACTATCGTAAACTAAAACTGTTAAAAATATGTTTGTGAATTGAAATAAACTATAATTAAAACTATAAATAAATAATATATAAATAATAAAACTACAGAAATAGAAATTTCAATTTGAAGCATTGAAATGACTAACTATAAAACTCAATCAGTGTTACTAATTAGATTTAATTTATTTTTATGAATTTAATCAATTAAACCTTAAAGGGTTTCATTTCCAAAAATGAAAATTAGGCTGCTTTTTACTCGCCCCCGAGGCATCCTAGGTGTATATGACTTTCTTCTTTCAGACGAATCCAGTCGGAGTTATATAAAAATTTGTCTTTGATCTTTCAAGCTCTATCATTGCAGTCAGCGGGTTTTGCATTGCTTCAGTCCAAAAGAAGTTAAATAAAAAGCGCCTCTGCATAAAAAAAAGTGTCTCACACGGCTCCGGGTGGTGAACGAAGGCCTCCTGTAGCAAATCAATTAGTTTTTGTAAGAAAACTATCCATATTCAAAATGTAATAATCACTTTAATGTAGCTTGCGTTCACTGTTGTAAACAGAAGCAGTTCCGGGGGAATGACGTATGAGGTCCGCTTTGCGCATGCGCCACTCAGAAGTGACGCACGCGGAAGCGCAGCGGAGAGATCAAAACAACGGTCAAGAATTAGAAGTACAAAACGAGGATTTGTAAAGAAGAATGTCGGAGGATTTTGATATAAGCCAAGAGGAGACTGGTTTTCCTTTGCTAAAGTAAGGAAACTTTGCTTCCTTTGCTTTGTTAACAAACGTTGGTTTTCACGAGACTCACCAGCACATGCGCAACGCTGAACTCATACGACATCCGCCCGGAGCTGCTTCCATGTACAACAGTTGGCGCAAGCTACATTAAAGTGATTATTACGTTTTGAATATGGATATTTTTCTTACAAAAACTCATCGATTCGCTACAGGAGGCCTTTGTTCACCCCCTGGAGCCGTGTGAGACACTATTTTTATTTTTTATGGTTTTACGCTTTTTATTTAACTACTTTTGGACTGAAGCAATGCAACACCTGCTGACTGCAATGATAGACCTTGAAAGATCAAAGACAACTCCGACTGGATTCGTCTGAAAGAAGAAAGTCATATACACCTAGGATGCCTCAGGGGTGAGTAAAACACAGCCTAATTTTCATTTTTGGGTGAACTAATCCTTTAATAATAATATTTAAAAACATTAAAAATTAATAAAAAAAAACAACAACAAAAGTAAACAAAAAAAATATAAAAAATAAAAATCTAAACATTATTAAAAACTATAAAACCATATACATAATACTAAAATGTTCTGTTTGAACCTGACTAGGCTTGAATTTAACCTTTTCTTCTGTATGTTTTGTAGGTTTTCCAGGTTCGGAAAGTGTCTGGTGCAGGTTCAGGAAAAATATTTGCAATGAAAGTCTTAAAAAAGGTTGAGCAAATTCCTTTGATTTGAATACAGTAATTTAGATTTGTGGCAATGTCTCAGTGTCGCTCTATTCTGCTTCTTGTAGGCTATGATTGTACGCAACGCCAAGGACACCGCGCATACTAAAGCAGAGAGGAACATCTTAGAGGAAGTCAAGCATCCTTTCATCGTTGATCTAATCTATGCCTTTCAGACGGGTGGCAAGCTTTACCTCATCCTTGAATACCTAAGTGGTTTGTGACTCAAGA